GACGAAGCAGGTTGAAATTAGTTGTTGATAGTTAGGAGCTCAATCTGAAGGCCAAGGAATCAAGCTGCTCGAGAGTTATTAACATCTTAGCTTTTGTGGCATTTTGATTGTTGTGAACCAGCCCAGGTAGTCATTACACAGTAGTTTAATCTGAGATGATTAATGTCACTATTGCTCATGCAGTCATGTTTGGAACCATTCACATGCTTAAAGTATGGCCAATGAAGTTTGCAATTTCTTGTTATGATAGCAGCAGGTGTAGATGTTAATGGAAATAGGATGTACATTCTATTATAGGAGAGATTAAAACAGAAAAGGTGAATGAACTATTCACATGGTGAATCTACCAAAGAAGCTACGAGTAGATGGACGGCTAAAAATAATACTCCATTCGTTTCAATTTAAATGAGTTAGTTTGACTTGACAAAAAGTTTAAGAGTATAAAAAAAAAGACAGACTTTTGAAACATGTGACCCTAAAAGCTTAAGGGATAAACGCTTTTTGGGGCCATGACATTTGGATACTATAAAAACTTCTCATTAAGGGTAAAGTGAGTAACATAAAAATTTAAAGTTGAATTATTTTCAAATATAGAAATGTGTTATTCTTTTTAGTACGGACTAAAAAGGAAAGTGTGTCATTTAAATTGAAACAGATGGAGTATATAAGATCGGTACATGGGCTAGTGGAATGTCCCCTTCCAATTCTATTTAGGAATAATAGGACGGGAACTGAGCAAGGACTCATGCTCTCTCTCACAAAACCTTTTTCAAGTAATTCATCAACTTACCTTTGAAGCTCTTTTGTCTCTTCTGGATTACTCCTATAAGTACATGGGCTAGTGGGCTAGTGGAATGTCCCCTTCCAATTCTATTTAGGAATAATAGGACGGGAACTGAGCAAGGGCTCATGCTTTCTCTCACAAAACCTTTTTCAAGTAATTCATCAACTTACCTTTGAAGCTGTTTTGTCTCTTCTGGATTACTCCTATAAGTACATGGGCTAGTGGGCTAGTGGAATGTCCCCTTCCAATTCTATTTATGAATAATAGGACGGGAACTGAGCAAGGGTTCATGCTCTCTCTCACAAAACCTTTTTCAAGTAATTCATCAACTTACCTTTGAAGCTCTTTTGTCTCTTCTGGATTACTCCTATAAGTATGCCTATTTTGAATTTGTGCTCCGGCACAAAGTCAATTTAGTGCTCAATGCCATGCAAAGGTTGTAGACCGTTAGGGATATCCTCAGAGAAGATATCATCAAAATCCTGCAAAAGAGAAGAAACACTACTTGGCAAATAAATAGTTAGTAACTCAGAATTAACCAAATCTTCTTTTTAAGTAAGCAGTATAATGGGAAGCCCCTCTTTCTTGCGTTCAAACACTCTTTGGCTTTTATGTACAAACTCTCCTTTTTTTTTCCTTTGCCTCTTTCCGCTCACCAAAACTTTCCTTTTAATCACTCAAACCCTCTTTTACCACTTTGCTCAAGTTGTTGCGCTCTCTCTCTCTCTCTCTTGACCATCTCTCTTTTTTTTTTCTAGCTCTTGGCCTTCTTTCTTTTCTTTTCCCTCAAACTCACTTTTTTTTCTCCCATTTGTTTTTCCATTATTTCTCTCAATCTCTTTTGATCCTCAAACACTTGAAAAGGACTTAAAGATGCAAGAGTATACTTCTTACCATTAAGTTCAAGAGAATATCTATTCTTTCTTCCATCATGAAAAGTATTCCTATCATATTGCCACGGACAACCTAACAAGATGTGACAAGCTTGTATAAGAACCACATCACAAAGAACATCATCCACATACCTACCAATATTTAAGAAAACCATGCATCGTTTGTTGACTTTCAGTTCACCACTGTCATTCAACCATTGGAGTCTATATGGGCTTAGAGTTTTTCATGCATGCAAGCTCTAACATGTTCACCAAGTGTGAACTCACCACATTAGCACAACTACTACTATCAATAATCATAAAACAAGTTTTTATTCTGTCACCCGCCATTATAGATCAGATTCAGGCACCCCTTTTAGTATTTCTCGTCCGATTTGATTGAACTACTAGGGTTGTTTTATATTCTATTATGGAGGGGTGATACATAAGAAAAAATTATGGTGGTCATCGATGGTCTCCGCGCCGGTGATGGTTCGAACTTTTCCGGTGTGTTCCTCGCCATTGATGGTTCGAAGGTTTCAGAGGCGTATTCAGGATTTTGAGGCCATGGGTGCGCCATCTATAATTTTAACGTAATTTTTTATGCTTATCATAATGTCAATTGATGT